CCACACGGAGCCTGTTCTGCTTCACTTGCCAATGTGTCGTAGATGTGTCTTTTGTTTTTCGCGCACTCTTCTTTACTGCTTTGTCCAGTGTAGTGTTTTATAGGTCGTGTTCAGTTTTTCTTTTTGTTGTTCATCCCTGTACTGCATTGGTTCATCTTCTGCTTCACCATCTTCCTCTCCTCTATCAGCTCCCATGTGTCCATCGGGATCCATTCCACTTCTTCTCTTGTTTCTTCTTTCTTCCCAGAGTGGTTATGCAGGTTTCCTTCCACATCTGTTTCAAAAAGTTCCAGTATTCTTCCACGCAGGCTTCCTCAGAGATGTTGCTCAATGTCTACTATTTTTTCCTAATGACTGACGTAAAGACGTCCTTTGTAGTTTCGTCCTTCAGTTTCTGTTCTGGGTGTTGAACTTGAACTGTGGTCTATCATCACCAGCTTCTTCGGAGGCTTTCAATTTGATTTTGAAGGTTCCTTGCACTAGACAGTGAGTGGTGGAAACCTGCATCTAGTTCTCTTCTTGATCTTTTGTCCAATAGTCTGCGTCTCCACTTTCTCCACATTGAGATGAAGTCGATCTGATTTTTAGTGTGTAGTCAGCATTATAGTTAAAAGGTAATCGAATTTATAGACAGCCACTTTCTCCAACCAGATTAGTATGACTGGGAAGTGTTGAATAACAGCTGCGGCTTTCATGGTTTTAGGCACTTGATTTTCAATCAATGCTCATCTAGATCTCAGTCGTACAAGTAGTATACTTACTCATCGAACGTTTCGTGTGATTTCAGTGGATATTAAGCAAGCTAGGCGAAGATTACTGAGTAATAGTATAGAACAACTGATGGTAGCTCGTCATATTCTTGACCAAGTGGCAACTGATCCTCCTACTGAGAGTTTTTCAAAATAATCGAATCAGCCAAAATATCCTACTTTATTGGTGCGACTGTCTGAGACGGCCGAGGTGTAATATACTGATACTATTGGTATGAACTGACGCCTAATGACTGTTATACTAACCAATAAGTCAAAAATGTGGATCTCGGATAAATTTCATTAGTTTTATAATTTTATTTATTATATTGGCCGTTCTACTTATGACTTTTATTGTTAACATTATTTCACAAGTTGGTCTGAGAGCTAATGACTGACTCCCCACCTGTTTCTATATGACCTATATTTCGGAATAAACTGCATTTTGTTTCACTATTTTTATAAATTATAACCCCTTGTGTTGAAGTATTCAGTTGTACATGCTGATGAATCCAAGCACCTGAAATATACGGATAGTAAACATTAGAATTTGCGTCTTATTGTACGCTGTTGGGAGGGAAGAACTGAGTGACTTATCGTCTAGGTAAATTAGGTATACGATCCTGGGGAAGCATATACGACATTATTCATGTTCAAGATTAAGACTGAATAACCAGACATGCCCAGACAAATTTATAACGAAAGTGAATTGAAAATCTTGTCGCTGCAGGTTTCAAACAAGCAACTTCTGGATTATTTCAAGTTGTTATTCATCGGAGACCGACATCAGTTGGAGGAACAAAGAGAACCTGGGAGCACTGGACAGCCGTTTCGTCCTAGTATGGGACTCCTCAGCAGTGCGCACCCACGACCCAACCAGCAGGACCGAACCCTTGACCTTCAGGTTCCGCGGCCAGCGCGTTACCATTGGGTCACTGGGTCCGAATCCAATGCTCCATATTTCCAACTTCTGTTAGCCCACGATATATAGCGCAACCGCCACCCAATGTCATCGCTGAGTATCTGTCCTCATGGCCATCAGGCTTTGACTCCACCGGTCACGACTTCTCATTGAAACTTCGGGAATACTTCTCGAAGCCAGTCACCAATGAGCACCAGTTCAATTAAATTTTGAGGGAGTTGTGGAGATTTGGAAATATTTCAAGTTGTTATTCATCGTGGACCGACATCAGAAGGACGAAACAACTGTCCAGTGCTCCCAGGTTTCCTTTGTTCCTCCAAATGATGTCGGTTTACGATGAATAACAACTTGAAATAATTCCAAATCTCCACAACTCCCTCAAAATTTAATTTCTGGATTACTCAGCCGGATAAAGAACCAACTGAGATACGAGATGCAGCTCATTATCGAACCCCAACACTGTTTCAAGAGTTTTGCCTGGTTGTCATATGAATGCATAATGCATATCTCTCCCTTCGTCGTTATCATACTATCTTGCAGATGAATAAAGTCATAAGTTGTGTCTTGTTATTTCATTGCATAGTACGCCAGGTTGTTAATCTGCAGACCACTAGCTCGAATCCCAATACAACAAAGATCTTCATTTTAACTACAATTATCATCCCGTCCTATTTCAAGTTTAGTTGATACAGACCTAGTTTTTTCCCGTTAATTCACTGAGTGATAGCTCCCAACTTTGTACCAACTTAACATATCAATTAATTCCTAAATATTTTTATACTACTGAAAAACAATTTAAGTAGCAAGAAACCACTGAGGTTAATTTATAGATTTCATCAGTCAAATGAAAGCTATCTAAACACCGGACGGCTGTTTCGTTCGTTTGAGGCTGAGCTCTTCAGATGTGTATTTATTTCTAGGAAAGGATATACCACAGTTGTCGGTGAAATGAGAACTAACATTTTCCGCATATGCTTCTGCAAAATATTTGGACTTAACTTTAATACCTTATTTTGTGTCTTTAGCGTCTGGGTTTGTTGAAAATGGGGCCTAAATATTGTATTGAGATGCATTCTGATATTTTTGAGTCAGATTTTATATTTTTCACTTGTTGAAGTTAGTATAATTCAGAGTTAAAGTAGGTGGTGAAATATCCACAATGTAATGCTCTCTAATGTATTGTGTTCAAAAGAAATTGTGTTTTCATGGTAAGTTTTTTCGAATAACATGTAACATACAAGTTATTCATGATAAAGTTGTCATTTAATTATTCTGTTGGTAAACTGAGGTTTTTTCGAATCAATTGAATTATGATTCAGTATCAGCTACTGAGCGATTCATGTTATATGTATTATACTTTGAAATAAACCTATTCCATGATAAACTAAGTTCGAATTATACTGCTTAAGCTTGTCACGTATTTGTAATGAACCTAGACTATCATTAATTAATGGAGAAAGTAAATGATTCAGACATATCAATTTCAGGATGTGTACATTCTTATTTGTAGTTAACAATAGCACAAGGTACTGAGTGGAAGGTTATTCCAAGGTAATTACGCAAGAGATGATTATGTAATAATCTATTAAGTAATTAAACAGGTACAAAAGTGAAACAGTCCTACTGAAGTTTATAATTAAGTAGTAAAGTAAGAGAGGTTGGAAATAATAATATTGATAAATAAAACAAAATAAATACATAAATAAACTATCTTAGTAGGATTATAGTCAAGATAAAATTATCAATGCAAAGGTCAGGTTTGAATTGATGAATTGCCAAGGCTTCTATTTTGTTCCAGTGATAAATCTACACTCCCTTTGAAATGCTTGGTTTAACAATATAGATGATTTTGAAAGAAGATTAAAAAGTGGAATAGAGTGATCAGAGTTAACGAAGTGTTCAACAATCCATCTTTTAATCGTATTTTCACTTTCCTTTAGACAACCATGAAGGATAATTTTTTTAAAACGCGTTGGTACAGAACACACTTTGTCTGACTTATATACTCTTCTCTACAGTTTCAAATAAATACGAATGTACGGCTTCTGTAAATAAATCGTCAAAAAGAAAATTTCATTTTGTCTTTCGTTAATAGAGAACAGTCATAATGAATAGTTGGGATCTAGAACTATTATAATGTTGGATTTTAAGCGCTGAAGAATACAGGTACCACTAATTGTGGTAGATTCAATTTTCGATGCTTTTTAGTTTGTATCACTTGCCATTGTTTGTAGTAGAGTTCTGCAATGGTTTATTGGCTGAATTCTGTTTTATTTTGGTAAATCCTTTATCTTAAAACATGAGTCTAAGAATACACTCTATCATAGTTTTACTCTTTTCTTACCTATCACGCGTATCATTACTTATTTTTCGTTAATAGATTTTCATGATCAGACATCATAACCTATTGAAAGGAAAAAAGAATCAAGTTAACACTTCATGCATAGTGGTCAACATGGATTGATTTAGGCACTAAGGAAATGCTTTGCTTTTCCAAACTAAAATCTTCACTGGTGCAAACACACTTGAGTGGTTGAAAAATACTTGACTAAGATAAACATCGTAAATAATTGTATGGTTTTGGAATAGCTGACAGTCTATTTCACCATGTAAAATTTTAGTGTTCTGAACAGTTTGGTAGCTTGAACTGAGTTTCACCAAGAAAACAGCTAATTAGTTCACACAACACTGGTGACAGCATTTCTGATCACTTCTGACTAGAGAAACTCAACATTTCAACTTAAGTTCTTTGTTACTAAACCTTTTGTCCAATAGCATACATATATATATATACTTCTGGAGTTGTTGCTCATTGGTCTAGGCTGTTAACTGTAAGCCAGTAGACCATGAGTTTCAACCTCACACCACCCACCACTTAATATAATTAATCTATTCATAATAGATCTGTTTCATTGTCTAATGCACAAACCTGCAAATAATCATTGGGTAAGGATTTTTTAGATCAGTATTGCAGTACTACTGAGAAGGTCAACTGAGGACATGACGTGCCACACCGTCGAGTGGAATCCAGAAGGAAAAAGACGAGTTGGGCTTCGGAGGCGAGGATAACATGAAGGAGATGGTATGTAAAGAAGAAATGAAAGCTTTTGGGCAGTCGTGGCGCCAGGCTGAAAAGATTGCAGAGAAGAGAGTGCAATGAAGCCGTATGTTCCACTCGGAACCCAAGAAGAAAATAAATGAGTTTCAGTACACTATTTGACAAAATAAATGTAATTATACTATTTCATTTATTTCGTAAGTATGTAACTTCGCTATTGAAACGGTTATTATATGTGATACTTTTATGTTATTACTTTTTTTATTTATAGTCTCATCATTTAGTCATGTATCATCCACTGATATTTGTCAGGTCACTCCTAAACACATTATATCATCGGTTGAACCTAAAAATCACTGTAACTTAATCAGTAGTTCTAAAACAAAAGATATAGGTAAATATGAACAAATCATTCACGATAGTTCAGCGTATGAATACGAAAGTACAATAGATTATAACAGATATGTCGATTTTGATTCATTTCACTTCTATCCTCCTGACTATACAAACTTTAATGAACTGGATGCTTTCGATGCAAACTCACTAATGAATCAAAATATTCACTGTATACAAGATACAAAAATATCTCCAGTAAATATTCAACAAGATTATAACATTGACTTAATGGATGATAATCATATTCTAATAGAAGAAGAATCTAAGATTAAGAAGTTACGGGACAGTACACAATACCAAAATGATCCGACAATTTTTGGTCTAATTATCCCTCAATCCAGTAATGATGATAATGAAGAAGAAGATTATATCAGTAAAAGTGAAGATGAATTCATTCAAGACAATGAAACAGATTCAAAGAGATTATCAAAACATTTAGATGCAATCAACGTGAAGAATGAATGTAGTAATTATTTAAGTTCACAATTAATCGATTATTATATGCGTAGGCAATCATATCCAACATCGAATGATACCGAAATTTCTTCAACAATATCATCAAAACTATCATCAAGACGAGAAAGATATTTAATATCTCAGTTTAGTTATTTCGATCAAAATGAATATGATTTTGATGATACAGATGATGTTTCCACATTAACATTCCTTGAAGATCAACATAACACGCCTATTAAATCACAGTCAAATCGACCTGAACATGATAAATTGACATCAACAAATATGGATTTAATATTCCCTTACAGTTTAGAAGAACCATGGGATTATGCTGAAGACTTACGTAAAATAGATGAGGATATCTACAAACGTACGACTCCACCAGATACTACTACTACTACTGATGGTATTGTAAGTAGCATAACTAGTTTAGACAAACATAACATTATCAATTCTGGTATATCAACAAATGTAGCATCAAATGATAATTACTATACAGACAACGTTATGCGTTCATCATTTAGTGATTATGAAAATGTACATAGCTTGGATAAACAAAGTGTAAATATGTCACAATTTCATACCGTTGAACGTTCAATGAATGAATTATACTTAAATTGGTTAAATGATTTAAATATGAGTTATTATAGAGATCAACAGGATAACTTGACAAAAAATGATTACAATGTAAAGACTAATGATTACAATTACACAGAACTCCCATTTAGTGATCATAACACTTCACAGTCTATTACAAGCAACCTAGTAACTTCAGAAGCATCCATTACACCGTCTAGTACTAGTAATTCCAAGGCTATTATCGCTACAACTTCTTCCACTACTGAACAGAATGTTATATTGAAACGTTGTCCAAATTTTGAAAATATTAGCTGTTTATCCAGTGGTAGTGAGATTGATTTAACACAGCATGACAGTGATGTATATGGAACATCGATGAATGTATCTGACATGAATGAGGAAAAGGAAGACATTGAAATAAATAACGACAAACCAATGAAAGTATGGGGTCGAGAATATAGAGATAAACTACAAGTGAGTGAAAGATTTCGTGACATATTGAATCTAGATTATTTGTCTTATTTATGGTATGTATTTATAGAATTCGGTTATTTTTGAGTTGACATTTAAAGTTATAAAACTACTATGGAATGCAATACAGTATTGAATAATTGACAGTGATCGATGCTGCTTTATGATTTGCTGACAGTCATTGGTATCTTGATGATTAATACTGGGATAGTGAGCATTCCAGTTTGCTAGTCACTTTGGAAAATGATCGACAGAAACCGGTTAGCACTCAAGAATTGACTAGTAATCGATCATAATCGAGGTCAATAACCGCCCGAATACATAACTGGTAATGTCAATGACTACAAAAATTGGGTGAAGCAGGTTTCAATCTCAGAGCTAACATCAATTCCGTCGAGATGGCATAAACGCCTTGCTGAAGAATGCCAACAAGGATGAAAATCAGGTAGAACAGGACTTTCTGCTGATTGCCTCCTAAAAATCAACACACTGTAAGTTAATCGGTAACTCGACAGTTTGAACACATACCTTGACAAAATTGAGTGAGACAACACCACATTGTCATCTTTTTGAAAACTCTTAACATAGGGACTGCATTTTCTCATTCAGTAAACGCAGTTGATGCATCAAGAGCACAGGTCAAAATTGTCATTTATGTCCCCCCCCCCCTCCGTATTATCTCATTCCACAAGTTATGTGCTACTGGAGCATGACATAACAAAGCAGATTATTGAGTTGTGTTTTTTTCATATTCGATAAAAAGAAATCTTTTCTACCTGCTGTGGAGTTATGCCTGAAATCAGACTAAAAGACTAGGTTGTATGTATATAGAGGAATAGCCATTACTAAAATTCGAGTATTTCAGTTGGATATTTTTATTATTGAACATTCTTTGATTGTAGTATTAGAAAATTCAAGACAACACTGGAATTAATGCAAGTATAAAGTATTTGAAACTTTTACCATACATTTGCATAATTGATATGCGACACAGTAATATAGTGTTATTCACTGGATGAAGTTTTCGGCGGAATTTATTCTTCACAATCATATCAATGTGATGCCAGGACTATAAACTCCTTTTTTGTACTATATATATATATATATATATATATATATATATATATATATATATATATATATATATAATAATCATTATTTTCCCCTTGAGTTCATGGTGGAGCATACGGCTTCACTAGCATGCCTCCATTGCACTCTCTTCTCTGCAGTCTTCAAAACCTCACACCACCACTGCCCACAAGCTTTCATTCCTTCCTCACACACCATCTCCCCCATGTCACCCTCAACTCGGACGCCCAACTCGTCGTTTTCCCTTCGGATTCCACTCGAGGACTCGACCTTGCGCGTGATGTCCCCAATCGGCCTTTTCAGTGCATGCCCAATCCATCTCCACTTTCTTCTTCTGCATATTTGTTCCACGATGGGTTGTTGGTTGGTTCGCTGCCAGCCAGCCAGAGTTCCTTCCAGCTTATTCTTTCTGACCATTCATCTAATCTTCAGTATTGAGTGAGCATAGGTGGCAGCTGTTGATGAATATCTGTAGTTTGTTGGAAATCCCTTTCGTAACGCGCCAAGTTTCTGAACCATATGGGAGCACTGACTTGACTGAATTGGTGTTGAAAATCCGGATCTTGTTCTTTGTGCTGAGTGCAGCAGATCTTCACACTAATTTCAGATCAATGAAAGCCTCTCTTGCTTTTCTCATCCTAACCATAGAAATGACTAATTTTTTTTCCCTTTTACTTTTAAAGAATTAATTTTCACATGAAATGAAGAAATCTGATAGGACTTTTGGGTAGTTTTTACGATATCTTTTGTCGTTGCTTGTCAAGTAATTAAAAAAGACCTCCAAAGTAATTTATATGAACTATGATCAATATTTGATCAAATAATGTCGCGAATATCGCACGCCAAGCTATATATATATATATATATAGTTTGAGGTTTGTGGGGATTATATTTTTAAGGTTGCATTCACCACCGTAGGTTCTGAGTTCGATCTCTGGCAGGGTCGTTGTTGCATACTACTTCGATGTCCCATACCAGGACGACAAAACTTCCGTTACACCAATACCAGAATGCTAGGAAAAAAGACAATGAAAGCTTGCCAGTTTAGTAGGGATCGGCAACTAGCATCCAGTGCAACAGCACAACAACCTCTACACAAGCCACCGTACCCCACTAAGTCCTTAACGTGACTTTTTGACATGCTACTAAAGTAATGTAAGAGGTATGAGAAGACTACTGGAACTAAGAACAGTGTACTTTCATCTGCATACAGATATAATCTTTATCACGGAGACGTGATCCCCATCAGATATCTTGGAACAGGAAATGTCTGTACCTAGTACAATCTTATTCCGAAGCGAAAGGCAGTTCAAAGAAGTAGGAGGAATGGCCATGTATACTAGCACATACTTCAAACCAAAGAGGTGACTGATAATATATTCAATCAATAGCGAGACTCCTTATGGTGCCATTTCATCATAAACCAAACAATGTACCTACTAGGAGTGGTATACAGGTCTCCGCTATACATAAAAAAGCCTAAGCAACGAATGCTTACCGTGATTTAGGCATCTACCTCATCAGCCTATGACCCCAGAGTCCTTGCTGGAGACTTTAACACACCTACACTTCACTTGAGGTTGGAAGTAAGCAGTAGACTGTATATATATATATATATATATATATATATATATATATATATATATATATATATATATATATATATATATATATATTCAAAATTACGACCATAACAGGCTGGCTTAATGAAGTACAAATCAAGGGCGAATCAAATTGCAGCACTACGCTACGCATCATCATTGAACAGAGCATGGAATGACAGTCAACTATCTACCTCAACTTCATCAACTTTGAAAAGGCCTTCGACAGCGTCAACCGAGCTGTAATTTGGCAGTTGCTTCAACACTCAGGACTACCACAAATCTTTATCAACCTCATTCAGCAACTATATGCAGGTGCCACATGCCAGGTGATCCACAATGGAAGGCTCAGCGACGCCTTTGAAGGGAAGACAAGAAGGAGTAAGACAAGGCTGCCTACTGTCACTCACGATCTTCCTGATTATGGTCGACAGAATCATGCAGCAAACCGTGAGGAGTTGGAAGATGAGCATACGCTGATTGGGCCGATTAAAAAGACCCCAGAAGAAGAAGAAGATATGGATTTCGCCAGCGATGATGATTTATGTCAAATGTCGCACATACGTGAAGATGTACAGGTGAAAACTAGCAAGGTGACAGAAGAGGCGAGGCAGCGAAAACGGGACTTCAAGTGAATGTATAGAAAACGGAGGTGATGAAGATACCCAACCAACAACAGCATCAACAACAAGCACCAATCACTATTCACGGGAGAAGCTTAAAGCAAGTAGTCTCCTTCACCTACCTAGGCAGGCAGCATCGTTTCAACTACAGGTGGTGGCATAGACAAGGACGTGAAAATAAGCATCGGGAAAGCAGGACAGGCGTTCATTAATATGAAATCGGTGTGAAGGTCTGCTGCACTCAGCACAAAGAACAAGATCCGGATTTTCAACACCAATTCAGTCAAGTCAGTGCTCCCATATGGTTCAGAAACTTGGCGCGTTACGAAAGGGATTTCCAACAAACTACAGATATTCATCAACAGCTGCCACCTATGCTCACTCAATACTGAAGATTAGATGAATGGTCAGAAAGAATAAGCTGGAAGGAACTCTGGCTGGCTGGCAGCGAACCAACCAACAACCCATCGTGGAACAAATATGCAGAAGAAGAAAGTGGAGATGGATTGGGCATGCACTGAAAAGGCCGATTGGGGACATCACGCGCAAGGTCGAGTCCTCGAGTGGAATCCGAAGGGAAAACGATGAGTTGGGCGTCCGAGTTGAGAGTGACATGGGGGAGATGGTGTGTGAGGAAGGAATGAAAGCTTGTGGGCAGTGGTGGTGTGAGGTTTTGAAGACTGCAGAGAAGAGAGTGCAATGGAGGCATGCTAGTGAAGCCGTATGCTCCACCATGAACTCAAGGGGAAAATAAATATCAATATAAATACAAAGAAATGGTTATTGGGTGGAATTTAGAGTCACACTCGTTTAATAGCTTCTGATTCTTCTATTTTTGGTAGTAGAAGTAGTAGTAGTTTTGCAAATGTCTGCATTGTGTTACGATTCATTCCTGTTTAAATGTTATGTGATTATCACAGATCCAGTAATCAAGCTTTCCCTTTAAGTGGGGCTTTCGAACTATCATCTTGTTTAGTCTTATAGTGGGATAATTAGTTAGTGCATACTCAGTTGTAGCAAAGCTTCTCTCAAGGTTACTTAACATAGTAGGGTTTTTTATTCTACATTTCTCTAAAAATTCGCGCAAAGTATCTTTCGTCTGACCTAGACATTTTTCCCATAATAATTTAACCATGCGTGAGGCTTGCTAAGAAGATACTCGTTATCAAAACCATTGTGTAACAGGAGAGAATAAACTGTGGCGCAGTATACTCATCCTTTGACAGGTATTCAGATATCTCGTCAATCGCGCCACAGATGATGCAAGTTAGCAGAAACTAAACGGGCCTAGTGTATGCGAGCTGAGATTGCCTTGGTAACCAGCCCGTTCAGACTGGTGCAAATCCCAAGTAAATGAAGTAATCAAGACATTCCACTACTTCACTCCCAACCGTCAAACTGAGATTATTTCTAGACCACGTCAAGAGAATCATCTTACATTTGACAGATGCGAAATGCATGCAAGCATACTCAGATTTCTGTTCAGCATATTTTATTGACGTTTACCTCTAGCCGAACAATGTCAGTTTCCCTAAGTATCATCTAACCAAATCACTTTACGGCCAGTTGAACATAAATTTCAAATGAAACATGGAGCCTTTTTGGGAAAACAAGCATTTTGTGTTGATATAAATTAAAAACACTCCTTTCCAAGACCTACTCCAAAGTTTAACCTAGTAGACCCTCGCAG